GATCAAAACAAAATCAAGACACAAATCAAAATAGGGAATTACTAAAATAAGAAACAAAATACGTAAAAGATTTTTCCTTTCCCAAGTTGCCAGAGGTAGGTTATATATTGTATTAAGATTCGTTCTTTATGAAACATCATCTTGTCTACTTCTAAGATACTTGTAATAATACTATCAAGTATCATACAAGTTTTTGGGGCTGGTGCTTCTTCTCCCACTTGAATGGTGGCTTGCCCCTGTCTAGCTATTTGTTGTGTAGCCCATAGTTCATTATGTTTGTCATGCTTTTATGCAAGTTGAATTAGAGTATCCATAATATTCTTTTCTTTATTATCTATTATTTGTAGAATTTTCTCTGTTTTATTCATTGTGCACGTAAAGAGTAGCTAATAGGAGATAAATCACGTAGTGTTGCTAAAGTCACGTAGGGCGAAAAAATCTTTTACGTGTTTTGTTTCTTATTTTAGTAATTCCCTATTTTGATTTGTGTCTTAATTTTGTTTTGATCAGACACATGTTGTTTATCCCTTCTTTATCTAGTATTGTTTACTTGTTTATACTAGTTTGTAATATTGTATTATAGATCCCTACTGTTTTGTTTATGTCAATCACGTTCTGTGATGATGTTGTGATTGAGGATCTTGCCAAATCTAGTTGCTCTTGTTGTGCTGTTGTGATAGATCTTTGTCGAACTTGTTTTGATAACAGGTCTATACACGTGTATATGTTTGCGTTACTCTGGCTAGGTGTTTTGATGTTTGCAGGATGGGATATGCACATTAGGCTGTTTAGACCTTGAGAAGCTTTGATGTCCTTCTGGATCTTGAGGAATTTGAGGTTTACTTGATTTATCGAGCAAATCTACTTTCTTTAAGATTTCTTGTAGTGTCAAGAAAGGTATTAACCTGTACTGGCCTGGCTGCAAGCACTGTGAAGTTGATATTGGCTCCCCTTTTCTGACTGTGAATTAGTTTATATTGGTTTCTTTCTTTCTTCTTGAAAAAGGAGAAAAAGTCAAAATTGTTGCTGTATGTATGTATTTTTCAACATTTTACTGCTCTAGAGCTGTGCACGAAATGTTGTCTTGTACTAGAATGACTGTTGTATGCTAGTGTTGCAAGAATATGTGTCTTGAATTATAGATGTTTCTCTTTCCTTGGGTGAATTGCCTAAAAAGAAAATTTTTAAGAATCTGAGGGATTTGCGAAAAGAGTTTTTTTTTTTTTTTTTTTTACTGTATAATATATTTCATTTCATATCTCCTGTTTGTATATATACATATGAACTACTTCTCTATACTATATGTATATTAAATAAGCATTATATATATCAACTATTCTTTAGTATTTATCTATATATAGCTAGTTATATTGATTATACTATATATATAAGCACTACCTATTTGGAAAATTGTATGATTCCTTCTTGATTATTCTCTGTCCTGTTTTATTAAGAGTAGGCTGGTTATCAGGCTATCAAATTTTCTTTATCCTGAATCTGGTTTTAGATCCTTTGAAATGATTAGCGGATTTCTTCTCTCACCAAGATCTCCTGATAGTGCTGACTATAGAAGTGCTTATAGCCTAGTACGTGATAATCAGCGGTACTCTATCGGTCAATTAGATCTACTCTTCTTATTACCATTTTCTAACTTATTATTAGGAGTAATACGATCAAGTCAGGATAATCCTAGTCGATTTCAAATCTTGATCTTTAGATCACAATCTTTATATAGACCATACCATGAGTGACATTAATCCCCCTTTTTATTGTTATGTGGCTATATATAGAAACGTTAGAAGTCTGTTTTTACTTGGTTAAGCCAACAGATATAAGTTCTACTAAACTTCAAGTATTACCTCCTGGAGGATCTGAACTTACATCTTGCAATCTGACCTATGGAGTGCTAACTATTGCATTATTGATCCATAGGTCATACTCTTAATTTTATATATTATTATTAGTAAGTTATTATTATTATATATTTAATTAAGTTATTAAAATACAAAAAAATCACAAAAGAAACAAATTGAAAAAAAATAAGAAAAAAATATTTAAATATACAATATAATAAAAAAAAATAATAATAATAAAGAAAAAAATTTTTTAACTTTAAAAAACTATTTTTTAAGATTTTTTTAAATAACAAATATTTTATTGAAATACTCTTTTTTTTTTAATTATTTTTGACCTTAATTTTTTTTATACAGTATATCATCTAAGGAGACTTATTGTTTATTAAAAATCTTTATTTCTAGTAATAATTTAATTTCAAATTATTTTAAGTAGTAATATTGTATTCATCTATAATATAGTAATAATTTATGATGAATAAATTCTTATGTGACTCAGTAAGAACTGAATTATGTTGTCTTAATATAGTAACCACATTTAGTTAAAAGGATTTTTACTGGTGTATATCTTCTATTACTCAAAAGATCAAATTTCTCAACACTTCTTTTATCTTGTAATGGTATAGGCTTGATTAAGACAAATTATAACATTCCTCTTTCATAAATAATATATTCTTTATGATAAGTGCTCAAATTAATCGCCAGCTATTTTCCCAGAATCCTGAACCTATTTGCTTTTGCCAATTTTTGCGAGGGCCCTTCGCTTTGATCTTGGTTTGTACTCTAGATTATCTCCAATATTTGCCTTATTGAATCACGAAGAAATAGCGTACTTATCTTAAGCTATATGCAGAAAGGATTCATAAAAAACTTAAAAATAAGGTGTCGTTGGCTCCGGAACTTGACCTAAACATATGCGAGACTCCGTAAAAAAAATGATACCCATACTGTATGTCGTGTTAGAACAGATAAACACTCGTTCACTGGTTCTGATAAAAGAAAAGTGACAAAAATAGATGATCTAGGTGGTCAATGAAGCAGATAGAAGGTTCTCTACTTGCTCGTGATGAGTACATTTTATTAAAGATGCTGGTTTTATTTCGGAAATTATTCTGTTACTTGGACATTTGGTAAATGTAACATTTCTTGCATACATATACATGGTAACACTCAGAAAACTCCTGGAATGAATACTCTTATCTCTTAACAAGCATTTAAAAAAATTATTGAAAGCATTTCGAATAATGAATTCTAGAGAATATTGGAACCAAACTGTTGCTGGTTATGGGTTAAATTTCATATCCTTTATGGAATTTGTTCAAAAGAAAAAAGTGGGTAAAGGTGACTTTGGCACCATTTACTTGACAACCTGGACTTCGACTTCAGAACGGGTGGCATTAAAGCGAATATCAGTTAACGAAGAAAACGAAGAAGCTATTAAAATTTTTCTTAAAGAGGTTAATTCCATTATAAATTAAATCATTGAAAGTCTTAAAAAATTAACACTTGAACCTTTTATAATGCATATAGTTAAGCATACATAACAGTTCAAAGCATGACCGAATCATTAAACTTTTGGGAATAAGCCGAGGTTAATATTATGCTTTAAAAAAAAGTTGCATTTTAATGACAATGTCGGACTAATTTTATTATGCTATATAAAGATACGAATGATTCTTCGGATTGTTATCTCATAATGGAATTTGCGGATGGAGGAGATTTGAGAAGTTATTTATCAATGAAAAAAGACATCCTTGAATGGGAAGAAAAAATAAGACTTTCGACTCAAATAGCTGAAGGTGTATCATATCTTCATAACGAACTCAATGTTATACATAGAGATTTGGTATGTGATATTAAACTACGTTAGTCAATGAAATGCTCTCGACAATATTGTTTATTTTAATCTTTCCTCTATTTAGCACACTAAAAATATTCTAATACGCAATAGCAATATTAAAATATCAGACTTTGGACTGTCCAAATGTCTTGGTAGTACAACGACGATTAACAGCAAAGTGCAAGGAATCTTGCCATTTATTGACCCATAAAAATTAAAGGATTCTAATTATAAACTAGATAAACGATCAGATATATATGGCATTGGCATAATATTTTGGGAAATTTCAAGTTGCCATGAACCAGGTTTACATAAAGGTTTAATTACATTACTCGTCGATATTGGGCAATTTGATAAGAGAGAAACACCTGTCTTTGGAGCACCTCAAAAATACGTTCAACTGTACTCTGATTGTTGGAATACAGATCCCACTCTTCGTCCAGAAATAGACGTCATTCTTAACCGATTAAATATAATAAGCCTGACTTCAGTTCTTGATAATATTGCCGATATAGACAATAGTAGGATATTTATGTACTATGATTTTATTGTGCTTGATAATTTTACTAAAGTTCTCTACGTATTATTTAGGTGTTTGGGGGGAATTATTGCTGTGTAAAAATCACGAGGAAGGCTGCGGGAAGGAAATTCCTAAATTTTTTATCCTAACCATCTTTGATTCATCACGTGGATTTTGCGTCTTTGTTTTTTTTTTTTATATCTCTGAAATCCAAATTAGGAAAAAAAGTAAAAGATGAAGGAATGTATGTCATATTCACGTGCCTAATAAAATGATTGTATTAAAAAAGGTGTTAGTCAATTGTCAGTATTTAGAGTACAAATCAAAATTTGATTACCTATATTTAGTTATTGATTTTTTTTTTTTTTAACTGGCCTTGTTTTATGTTTCAGTAATATTTAATTATTGATTGATATGAATTGTTTAATATAATCTTATAAATGTTTAAATACTATTCAAGTGCAAAATAACCTTTTGAAATATAATAATTCAAATATTTTTTTACAAATAAAATACAATATACTGTATATATAGAAATAATAGTTTTTTTGTTAAAGTAAAAAGAAAAAAGCCATTATTTCAAAAAATTCTTGAAAAAAAAAAAATTGATCTAAGTAAAAAAATATAAGAATTAGAATATAATAATTGAAAATATATAATTTGATTAAATATATAGTATATAAGATAATATTGTTAAAGAAAATTTAAAAAAACTTTTATTAATTGAATATATTATTTCAACTGTTAAATATTAAGATAAAAAAATAATAAGTTTGAGTGTTATAACAATTTGAGATATAAAAAATCTTTGTTTATTGAAGAAAAAATAGATAAAAAACTTTATTGTTAAATTTTAAGTGAATATTTTTTAATTACACTTTTTCAATTAAATTTCAATAAAAATTAAATTATTTTTAGCAGGATAATAATCCTAAATATATCCTCAAATTAATTAAATATTGGTTTAATGAAGAATCAATTAATATATTGAATTGATTAGTACAATTTTTTCTGATTTATTACTTTTGCAAGTTTGCAAGTCACTGTAGATTAACGATTTTGACTACGTGACGATCTGCGATTAAGACATGATCCGGAAATTTCACTCGGATGTAATGAGCGGCACTCTCATTTTTGGTAATAAAAAAAACTCTGCTTACGGCAAAAACGTCGTACGGAACAATTAAAAATAAATTTTATTCAACTTAATATTACAAACTTTGTATAAGTCAATTCACGATGCGCTTTTACTGTAAATCACTTAAACATGAAATCGACCACAAATTAAAAAAAAAAAAATCCACTGGCCGGATTTGCGCATCAGTTTGACTGGCGACCTTCACAACATAATCGTTAATGAATAACACATAAATACCATCCAACGCAACAAATATTATTTAGGAATTGTATTGTTCATAAATTTTTCTATAATAATAAGCATAAATATAGATCGTTTAAAAATGAATTTCTTATGCCGAAATCGAGGTTCAAGTAGCAGCTTTTTGTGCTGTAAAAGAAGAAATAACAGATTAGTAAATTCATCTAAATATTTAGTCCGACCAAGATAAATTCATTGAAAACACACCCAGCGTGATTTTATCTCCAAGACTCAGTGCTATTCCCTGTGTTTTACTTCTAATTCGAACATGGCCAGTGATCGCACCATCAACTCGTTTTTCGATGCTTATGTTAGCCAAGGCATCTTCGCCTATAATATAATTCAGAACACGTGTAAACATAAAATGGTTAAGACGCACCGACGCATATTAAATCTAGAAAGTTTTCAATCGACTTACCAAATATACTACGAGCGTACATATTAGCAGATAAGAAGCCGCAATCTCCCGACAATGCGTTCTCGGGTGTTAAACAACTCATGTTTGTGGATTTCATTATGTGAGATAGATAATCACGCAAATCCCTGAGAATCAAAACAATAGATAAATATTAATTTTTTAAGAATCAAAGGGATCACAATTAAAAATAACGAACGCACGTTATGTTGGTGTTAACATTGACTTTATTCTCCCATTCGAACTCTGTCCACATGCTACGAAACTGGAAAATCACAATATTAAAATAGAATAGTAAAATATAAAATTGATGTGCGCAAAATATAGCAGTTGTCAGAATACCTGCGTCTCATTACAGTACGCGGGATTAATGTAATCCATTATGTCGATATGAATGTCATTGAGGACCACGCAATTGCTCTCTGCTGTCCCAGGACCGTCGTAAACAATATTACCAAAGATTACTCCGGTCTCTGTGGAGGAAACCTTTTAAAAAAAAAAAAAAAATAAGGATAGACGATTGATGCAATTCACAATAACAATAAAAGCGGTGTAGGAAAATGACTTGATACTCACCTTTATGGTAGCTTTCACACTATGAAAACTATGTGGCGCAAGATTATGTTGCGTAGGTCTTTCGACAAGCTTCAGATCCCCCAAGGTTGCAAATTCTATGGAAAGGTTCTGAAGTGTTTCACTGGTTTGATTGACAATCAAAACGTCTAGGGGTTGATAGTAAGTAGATTAAACTTCACTAATGTGGTCATTATTTTTGCACAAATCTCAATTTCAATATATACCTAATAAAATGTCATACTGGTGAACATTGACATAGGCTTCTGCGTATACTGGATCGGAAAACCCTGTTAACTGGACAACGCGACTAAGCTTTGAAATTAAATCATCACGCGGATCGCTTTGGCCAGTAGCACGAGTCAAATCCAATTCGTACTAAGCGTTCATTTAATAATTTAGTATGCAAACATAATAATCATTAGGAAAAAAAATAGTGAAAGCCATACTTCATCAGCGTCGTCCCCGAGGTTGCGTTTTGAAAATTGTCTAAAAGATATAAGATCATCGACTTGTACAGCTACGGTTGATTTATCTTTAGCTTTTTTTACCGCGGTGCGTTTTTCTTCATCCTCAACGATTCTCGTATATGCCTTTTTTGTGTCCTGTAGAAACACATTTTTGATCGAAGCATCAATTGAAAGTTGTTCCAAAACGTGCAGACAAGACATGATTCGGTCGTATGAGTCTTCATCTATGGGTGTGGATACGAATTGCGACTGTCCAACGCGGATAATACTAGCCATTATTAACATGGCCTAAATGACGTAGCGTATTGCGTAAGTAATTTTCGAGCATAGCTTGAGAAAAATGTAGACAAGAATTACCTCGGCTCTAAAGGAATTAGTTTTTTTCGCGTCGTTAGAGACTTCCGAGTAACGCATCACTAGCTTTGTCAAAGTTGAGGCAAGGACGGTACCAAGAAAGAAATCTCCCCCCAACAATAAAGCTATTAAAGGTGTAATCATGAGTAAGCAAATTTTCAGTATTGCACGTCTCATAATTTTGAGCAAATATATTACCCCTAAGTGGAGGTTTGGCGGCTGCTTTAACTGCATCAAGTTTTGAATTAGTTGTTGAATTCGATGAATATATGGATTCTGTAGCATAAGTTCCATCAGCTAGAATGCGTCTTGAAGATGATGGACCGGCAATCTTTGTTTCCAAACTTGCATCTTCAGGTTTCTCTTCTTTTTCAGCTTCTTCAAGAAGGCGCTAAAATAAATATTTCCAGGTTTATGTTATCGCATCGTAGCGAAGATGGTATATAAAGACGTATTCAAATCACCTGTTCTGACGCCAATATCGGAATTTCCCCGAGGCCTGCTCTTATTTGTTTCCAAGCCTCTTCAATGTCTTATTGAAAAGAAAATTGTGTGATCATCTTAAATTCACGTGTGCAGGCATAAAAAATGAGGTCGGATTTAAGATTCCAATTCACCTTTACATTCCGCACAATACTCGCCCACAATCCACAAAGCCCCCCGGAATACTTTGCCAGATTTGACATCCATAAATGTTTCGAGTAATTTTTCAGTTATCGATGATCGTAAATTAGGGAATTTCTCGGCTACCTCACTAATAAAAATACGTTAAAATGTCTTTTAGACAAGGCCTCTAAAACAGCTTGAATATCTTGAATATATAAAAGACTTACCGAACAAACGCTATTACATCAACAGCAGCAGGATTATTCGAATCTCCCAAGAATTCCATTAGCACGTGGACCACGTTTGCAGCTACTTCCGAAAATTTGATCGCGCAACCATGAATCGACTGGATAAGCAGCTGCCTATATTCATTGTTCTACAAAAGTAAACATCATCAATAGTGACAAAAAAAAATCCATTGAATTTTTTTTCACTTCCCGCAAATGTAGAAAATCGACCTAAATAATGTACCTTTTCGTAATCCTGATCAAGGGTCTTACTGAGCTCCTTCTTCAAGAAAACAACAACTTCCTGAACATTTCGACTCGAAACCAATTCTAATCCAATGCGTAAAGCCTTACGCCTAACTTCAATGTCCGGACTATTTCACGCAGAAATCAAGTTAAATGTAAAACATGATATCGATATTAACTCCTCACATTCCCGTACTCAATAAATTAACATGCCTGGTCAAGACACGTAATATATCAAGTACCAAATCGTCCATGGTCTGCTCGTGTTTTTCGCGCAATTCATCCAATCGATCCAACACAATTAATTTTATATTATTGTCCGATTCCTTGATGATTAACTCGATGTAACAAGAGGCGGCAGCTGGAGTAAGAAATAGAAAATTTATACAAAAGTTTATTTTATAAGTATGTATGTAACATAACATTACTGTTATTTCAATAACTTCATACCTTTGACGGCTGCAGGCGCGTGGGTGAGAGCCATCAGTGATGTCGCTGCTTCATATTTGACCGAAGAGGATGCTGCATTTAGCAAATCAAATATACACCGTATATATTTTCCCTGCGTAGAGTATCCCCACATGTTAAGAAAAATTTTTTTGCGTACGAAATTTAGCTACACGTTTGACACAAGAAGAAATCGCACCCTGTTTGTGCTGTTATTTCGGCAATCCTTCCTGATCAATTCGATCACCGACAACTGCAATAACTCGTCAAAATTGGGAACTTGATCGAAGATATCGTTGAGATAATCGACTGCACGCGATTGGCTCGTATTGCAAAGCATAACGAACGCGTTCCGTTTGCACGTTTGATCGGCTTCCTTGGAAGCGGTAAAGATTAGAGAATCTTAGTGTGTTCTTAGTATGTTAACTATACAGTATGAAATTTATCTGACATTGATTATTCTCCTTACAGCTATTAGAAAATTTTGAATTAACTCCGGAGCATCAGGTATGAGGTATTCAAAATGCTTATAAATGGTGTATATTGCGAATACTGCATTCTTCCTTACATAAGAATGCCGATGTTCCTAACAAACAATAATCTTTAGTGCTAGAACTATCCTGATTCAGTTTAACCAATACACTTGCATATATACCAAACAAGAACGGCACGAGGGTAACAATGGCTCCAATAATTCTGGTTCCCGTAACTTGCAAAGGAAGCGGAGCGTCGCACCCCTTATATACTCATTGGGATGTTGTAAATCATTTCTCAGGGCATTGCTAATCACGGAATAAGAATTGAATGTTTAATTATCTTACATATTCTTCGATCAGAATAATAATGGAAAGATTATCATTACCACACCAATATCATTTCTTGCTTTAGTTTTCCATCGGGATTTGTTTTGGGGCAAATTTCCCAGTAAAAATGAAGTAACTTCTTCAAAACTTTATTCTTTGAAGGCATTACAAAACGAATGACATGCATGAGAATTTGAGGAAGTGGATCGCCATTTAACATTGTCACTAGAATTTTTTTCATCGTGTCAATTTTTGCTTCCTCCGAGCCCTTCTCCAATGCCGTCTTGAGCTCTTGCAGGGAAGGTTGATCCAAGCTATCATCCTGATGAATAATGGTGTAACAAGCCTCGGTCGCCATTTCAAAAGTTATATCTAATAGCTGCCGATTTTCACGACAGATCGTTTATTCACAACTTTTTTTTTTAAATGCAGATCGGTTGTCTACCAACCAAATTTTGCCAGCATGTAGAATTGATTCTTTGCCAAAAACAAATTATCAATATATACTTTATATTCTCAATTTATAACATTAAAGATATATCTTTTATTGAGACGTTAAATAAATATCTATCTTTGCTATAATACATCACTTTAAAAATATAAAGAGTTTACAAAGTTAATTTGAACTAAATAAAACAAAGTCTCAACTAAATACTCTAAATAAAAATTTTTTTTAAAAAAACAAACATTTCACTTTTCTAATAAATTAGAGCTAATGATTTTTATCTCAAAAAATAATAAATTGTTAAAATTAATATATTGAAAAATAATAATAATAATAATAATTTATTATTCTATTTCAAAATTTTTTTATCTAATTAAAATATTTTTTTATTTAAAATTTATAAAAAAATCTATTTATTTGTATAATTTCTAAAAAAATCTATTTATTTATATATAAGTTATTTCAAAAATATTATTTATGCATCTTCAAAATCAAATATATTATAAAAGAATTTATCAATCTGTGATAAAAAAATTATTTTAAAAACTTGTTTAATCAAAATTGAAATCTTTTTATTTTAATTTTTTATTATTATTTAAATAACTTAATAAGAAATAAAAATTATATACTACATAATCTTTTATTGATTTTTTTTTTTACTGTATATTATTCAATTAAAAAAAAAAAATTTTTTTTTATAAACTTTCTTTTTATTTAACAATAATATTAAACTTATAATTACAATTAATAATAAGCTTATTTATATTTTAAAAACTAATATGTTTTATATTAATCAATTATCTTTTAATAAGTATTATATTATTCAAACATTTAAACTAAATCAAAATAAATTAAAAAACTATAAAAAAGGTTTTAAAAAGATATAAATAATTAATAAAAAATATATATAGTTTTTTATTATTAAAAATTTTTTTTATTATTTTTTTAAATTATAAATAAAATTAGACATAAGTTTTTTTATTAAAAACCAACTTAATATTTAATAATTAATTAAATTATTAAGCATTATATCAATTTTTTTTTTTTTAATCCACAGTTAGGTCAGTATGACATGTCTTTATTATATATATATTAGATATTTACAAATTATTATAACTTTCACATACTGACTTACTCGTTATCGAAAAAACTATTTCTCTAAATGCAACCTAGGAAATGATATTTTACTCCTTTACTAATTTGGATAATTTCTTTAATTAATAAAATTATTGCCTACAGGTCATTACTATAGATCATTTTAAGTTCTGTCTACAGTTAAAAATCAAAACATTTAATTTCGTGACAAACCCAATTCTTGATAATTACTGTATACTTTTTTCCTTCTATTTCTTTAATGTTCTCCAGATTCAAATTCTCTGAAGGTAATGATAATTGTTTTTAATCTTATTTGGTCTGTTTGTTAGGTCTGGGCTTGAGCTTTTTGGTTCTTTTGTTCTCTTCTATAATGTTTTGTTTCTTTTTTCATTCTATAACTTTGGTACAATGAGTATTCCAAATCTTCTTTTTAAAGTTTGCTCTCATTTTTTGACAGAGTTTATAATTATATCCTATGTATTTGTTAATAGAATCTTGAGTTGCTCTTTGAGATACTTCTTCAAGAAGGTGATCTTGTTTTCTTCCATATATCTACAGATGATATTAAAAAGGTTCCTGTCAGATTTCTGGATCTCTTTTAACCATTTGTCTATCCAGTCACTTTTTTTATGTTAAACTTTTTTCTTATTTTTTATTTCTTTATCAATAAGTTTCTTGATCTTTTCGTTTGCCTTCTATATAAGTTCTTCCAAGTTTTCCTAGTGACTGAATATTTAAAAAGATGTCTAAGTATCTCTTCTTGAAGTTCATATGCTAGGCAAGTGGTTGGGATATATATATATAGTTTTCTCTTCTTAAGTATTTATAAGATTGAAAGTTCATTATAAGTTAAGTTAATTAGGAAGCTTTTGTCTTTATTGATTTTGAAAGAGATATCAAAGGTATTGGTTGGATTGAACTGTTTCCAGAAGGTTGGCCAGTCTATAATTTTATCATTTTGGATCCAAAGATCCTGGATTCATTTTTGTATTGTCTAGTCTAATTTAATCTTTTTCTTATTAAATATTTTAATGAAATCTTTGATACCAATTTCTATTGTATATTCTCCCTATACTATTATCATAAGAACTCTTCCTAACTCTGATAGCTGATGCCAAGTTATTGAATTCTCTTAACTGATCTATTTGACAAATAAGTCTACTTGATTGTTGAATCTGTTAATTCTGTGAGCTTTGACCTTTACGATTTCTAGATTCAGGTCTTTCTTTTTTACTAGGTTCTTGATCTTATTCCAAAGTGACTAGTTAGTAATCTTTGTTCATCTTTTTGTAGATATCTCTATTTGTGAGTAGATAGATTTCCATACTTTGACTACAGTGTTGCAGTCAGTATGAATTGTAACTGTTGTGTTTTGAGGGGCTGTATATAGTGCAGTGAGAATAGCTAGTATTTTAGTCCTGATTGCTGATAGTCATGTGAAAGCTCTTGCTAAGAACTGTTTAACTATTTTGCTTTCCTCTATTATAATCCAAGCTAAACCCATTTTGACTTCACAATCTATCATTCCTTTTTTATAGAGCGATTTGTGTAAAATATGAGCTGATCAGTCATATTTCTTTTGTTATATTTCAAGATACTCTTAAGTTCATCTCTGTATTCTTCTGTTTATATGACTTTTTCTATTAGTATAATATTCCAGTCTTCCACTTGAATCTCTATTTCGAATGGTCTAAAAGTTGATAGAGTCACTATTTACTGAAATGCATTTGTTTACCAGTTTGTAGAGTTTTCTAATAGAAGAATCTGTTTTCTTTTTCTTAGATTATTATATCAATTAAGCTGTGTGAGAAAATGGATCTATAACAGGACTACTTCTAATGACTGCTTTGTACTGTCTGGATGAAGATGAGTATTATTACTAGTAGGGTCATATACTAGTTGATATGGCGTGAAATAGGTTTTGTTGTTTATAGATATTGTCTTTCCCTATGTATCTGTTGAGATATTAACCTGGATTGCCCAGTAAATCTTCCTTCTATTTGGGTTTGTTGGGAATGCCTCAGTTTGCATATTGTAAACTGTTCATTTAAGCCCATATAGGGAGTTACATAGAAGATTTCGATTTACTATTGTTTTTTCTTTCACTTTTTTGTATCAGGAGGAAACCAGTACCTTGTATCTGCTATAGAGAATTTGAACTGCGTTCCATTCCTTAAGTGTCATTGTGGTAGTATTTATGAGCTGGTCTAGAAATATGATCTTGTACTTTCATAGTGATGGAATGGCTTTTTCATATTTTCTGTTCTCTTGCAATATAGATTCGATTGATAAGATGACTCCCTGATAATTGAATATATTTTTCCACCTCCAACTTTGAAAAGTGACTTGTATACTATTTGTCAAAGCCAATATCATAGTTGTCAAGTTTCCTTTTGTCAGCTTGAAAGAGTTGATAGGATTGCTTAAAATATTGCCTAGCTTCCAACATTTGATTTAACTTTGTTTCAGTCTGATTATAATAGTAATACCAGAGGCCTCGTTATTATTAGACTGATAGAAAAGTGCAGGTATGTAACTTTCTAGCTATATCTCCCAGATACTTATATTTCTTTATTATAAATACAACTGTTTGGGATCATTCCATAGACTAGGGCCTTGTTCTTGAATACTTTCTTAAATATGGTTATGAGATCATTACATGTTTTCTCACTCAGGTGTATATATTGTGTTCTGTATTCTATTCTTGGAATTAGGACTCTATTGATAATGTATCAAGCATGTTTTTCTGTCAGCTTCTTCTTGATTATTGCCTGGACTACTGTTCTGATCTCTGATTTTATAAGATTTATAGTGTCTTGATTTTTTTGTCTCGATTCTATTCAGATATCAAGAAATCTAGTCTAGTCCTCCTTGTTGATTTCATGAACTATAGTATTCTCTGTTCCAGCCTAAATAGTTTTGAAAACTTGTGGGTTTCAGTTAATAGTAAGAAGTATTGACTTCTCTGCATTGATCTAAAAGTCATTTGCTATATAGAACTTTTTTGCTTCTTTTAGGATCTTTTCCAGGTCTTCCTTGGATTTGGCAATCCAGGTCATGTCATCCATATAGGCAATTACTACCTATCTTAAGGAGGGCTTCATTTTCTTTTCAGATTTACTAAAGTTGAAAAACCATTCTTTTACTATGAAATAACCCAGGTTGCTATTGTTTTGTATCTTGCATAAAAGTAGATCGTAGAAGATTCTCCATAATAATGGAGAAATCATTTTTTCTTGATTTATTCCATCCTTTGTCACTATTGAATTAGATAGTCCATTGGAAAAGATAATACTATAGCTTCTGTTTTTGAAGAGATCTATTATGAGCTTCTTAATGGTTGTAGAAATTCAAATCTAATCTATAGTCTTTTCAAGCATATGTAGGGATATTGTATCATATGTCTTTACAGTATCTTGAAATAGGATTTATAGTTCTTTTTTTTTTCTTTAACCTCTTTACAAATGTTGTTCAGCAAGTGGATGGGTTCTGTTATACTCTCTCCCTATAGCCTAGCAAAGTTAGGTCCTTTTAATATTTTGTATTACTTACAAATAGCTAATAGTCAGTTGGTAAGAATCTTGATAAAGCATTTTTGAGCTGTTTTTAAAAGGATGATAGGTCTTGTATTGCTCAGATTGCATTTTCAAGGCTTGAGTTTAGAAATGGGATAAATATTACTGCTGTTTCATTTCTTATATATTTGACCTGTACTTAAAACTTTATTAAAAAGAAGATATAAAGTTCCTTTTCCTTTGATCCCTAAATGTTTGAACATTTTGTAGCTGATATATGAGGGGCCAGCAGCCTTGTTGTTT